AGGAGANAAGGGGGGGTTGGTTCTTGGTGTACGAATATGTACACAATATGCAGATAAGCCGCCCACGTAAAAATAACCCAAGCGGGCTTCTTCCTCACCCGTCGAAGAGGAAAAAAAAAACTCAAGACTCAGCGACGAGGCGAGCAAGCGCCTCTCGGCAAGCCTCAGCTCAAAAGCCTTGCGATATGGGATACTGCAGAGCGCAGGGCAAAGTGCGGGCATTTTATGCACCCAGGCGACGGACAGTGTCCGAAGCGCATCCTCATGATTCCTTTTTTTTTTTTGTTTTTGGCGGTTGGCTTTGTGTCTCCTTGTACTCTGTATGATTTTTACCGAAAAGGTGTAGCGACGCCAAGTTTCCTCAATCATTTCGTCGTGAATTGCCAAAAGCCACCAATTGCTATGTACTGGGTTCCAGGCATTTGATAAAGCACCGCCGCCGCCGCTCAGAAGACGAGGCTGTTGCATACGGCCCCATCTAGTAGGGATCCGCTCGTTCGGACTGCTAAGATGGTCCCAGCTACACTTGGGGAACCTAATAATCACTCTGCTCGTTTGCACCAATATCAGACATTCGTCGTACTGATACTTGCGAGTCTGATGCTCGTTGGGGATATGAAAGAATCATTTTGGGAGTAATTGGCGAGCGTGACAGAAAACACAACAGGCTACCGAAAAGCGACAGTATTGTCTTGGATAGTTGGCTCCCATCATTTATTAGTTGGGAGAGGCAAGATAACTAGTCTTTGAGCATTCTTCTCCCGTCTCATCAATCGAGAATCGCTAGTGTCATTGGATGCACAAGCAACACAAGTACGGAGACTTGAGATGAAAAGAGTAAGATGGAACACCTCGTCGTCACAGCTCAGAGGCATCGCATGTCACAGAGTATTACCATAAATCACCGGAAAGTGCACAAAATAAATCACCCAAAAGGGATTAATACCGTGCCAGCGGATGTTTGATTTTCAGATTTGAACGACAACAACCAAAACACTGCCCGGCCCCGACTCAAAGGTTATTGATCATCAAAAAGCCACCAATCATATTGATAGGGCCTGCTAGCGTCCGGACTGTTACAGGTACCGAAGGCCGAGATCTAGCAACTACCTAACTGTTGCAGGGGGGGGTTTTCAGGCTATACCTAAAGTTGCCTCAAGATTCGCGGAACCACTGTATTTTTCGGCAGCTGTCAATCGCAATTACAATATTTGTTTGGTTTACAAAAGTGAATACATGGAGGTTGTTTAATAATGAACCGCGGACGAAATGTCCCTGGCAGCGACAATAACAGTGCGGTTGATATATTTACTGGTAGCATGCGTCAGTGACATGTCTTCTGCCCACATTCCGCTACAATGTACCCCAGCCAGTTCCACCCCTCCATGCAGCACGCAGCATGCAGCGTGCAGAAATGCAGCAGCA